GAACACCACTTTGAGCAGCGCCGTGCCAAAAAGTGAGGTTCGTCACACCTACTAGAGCCAAATTCGATCTATCGTCACGCATGGTTTGCGGCCCATGACCTTTGCATCGTAGGGACAGCTGGGGTCATCTCGCGCAGCTCTGGCATCTGTGACGGGGCCTACAGCCTTTCCGTGATTTCATTAACGACGTATGATATCGTTAGGTAGCATATACTCACTCGGTATTATCGCCTTCTCATCTGTGTTGTTATCGTTTACAGGGTGGATTGATTGGCTCGGAGCAGTACAGGATGTGAGTACAGCTTGGGGGGTGCGACAGTTTCAAGAAAGCATGTCGTTGCGGGCTGCAAGCTTTTGAACGACGCATCGTGTTGCACCTCCAGAATGTCTCATCGCCATCGCGGCCATGGAACGTGGACATCTGACTGAAACAGTACGGTCTGTGTCAGTCTGTGTCGGAGCTCGGCGGCACCTACGGACCTCCGCACAGCGCATCCGTCCCGCCGGCAAGCAGTACACCTATTAGTGGAGATAATTTGCAAGTGTGCTCTTCTATATCGTATACCGTACAAGGTCATATAACAAATGGATCTTAACTATGCCAAGGAGCTGGGTCTGAAGATCTGACGATTGAGGACGGCATCGCCAAAGACGTCGGAGACATGATCATACAGGCTCTACGCGCCCTCGCCTCACAGGTGGGCTTGTCCCATAAGTCGCGCCATCGTTAACTTTGCCACGAAATCGTCGCCGCGGGCATGAGGGCAAGTTCAAGCTTAGGCGCTGCATATACGACCGCACACGACTTGATGAGAGTGGCCCCGCGCATGAGCAAGCTGACCTTGTTCACTTTCTACATGCTGTCTTGGTTGACACTGGAAATTGGGTACGCACTCTGCGTAAGCGGCGATGTCACGGTTGAGCGACGCTACCAGTCAATCGTCCGGTACTACTGTCTGTTCCAAGTCTGTACGGCATACACGCGAGGGATTTGCGTAATTTATGACAAGTTACCGTCACGAGTCTAGATCTGTAGCGATGTTCTGCTTCGTTGCTGACCTCCTACTTGCAGATACAGCAAGTAAAGACGGCAAATTATTTCGCGGGACCGACTCTTTCATCTTATCTTATCTTATCCTTAAATCACGTGATCTAGAATCACGAGGCGGGTGCGCAGCGGACTCGACACTTTCGACCTCGACGACGACGAAAGCCACGGTCGCAGCTCATTCCATTCCCTCTCATATGTGGCTATAACTATTACCCTGGATCTGTATCTTTACAACACTCAAATCTGACTCAATTCGTCGCAAAATGCTCAGCATTCTTCCTTCGTTAGGCCGCGGCTCAGGCTCCTCTCTCCCTTTGCCTGTCCTTATCGTCGCTGGGATTTCAACAGCGGTAGCAACGTTCGTTTCAGCAACCTCCATCTTTCTGCATCTCAGAAACTACCGGAAACCTCGGTTGCAACGGTTCGCTGTTCTCTGGTACTGATTCAGTACCCGCTCGGCTCATTAGGCTTGGTTCACTCTTGCAGCATGGTCATCCGAATAATGGTCATGGTGCCCCTTTACGCCATATCCTCTCTCATCTCTCTCTTTTCCCTCGAAGCCGCGTTCTTCATCGATGCTGTCCGTGATATCTACGAGGTGCGTACACCCTTCCCTCGGCGCCAATAGCGTCTCCCGGGCTGCGCAGCATGTACAGGGATCACACTGTCTCAGCAAAGGCATTGAATGGCCCAGCTTACAACAGTAGCTCGGCCAGGTCTGTGCGTATGCCAGCCATTGCCCGGGATCTCCACGAGTCTTTCGTCTCCGAGCTGCATTTGATTGACTCCACACTCTAAGGCATTCGTCATCTACTGCTTTTTCGATCTCCTTCTCCAATATCTAGGGGGAGAACGTTCCCTCATGATATCACTGCATGGCCGCCCTCCGAAGTATCCCGTCTTTCCTGGAAACTTATTCTGGCCAGAAGTTGACGTCAGCGATCCGTATACGTTCCTCTTCTTGAAGCGGGGTATCATTCGTAAGTCTCAAACTTAAGCATGCCTTCTGTTCACTGACGATGACTACCACAGAGTATGTCCAGGTCAAACCTGTTTTGGCCATGGTC